TCGCGGTGGCGGCCAGCTTCTTTCTTCCGTAAGCATGGGAACGCAAGGAGACACGCTGGACGGTGGGATACAGGGAGAGGTCATTCCCAGGGAGGAGGATGAGGATGAGGAGGATGAGGAGGATGAGGATGAGGATGATGATGATCATGATGATGATGATGATGATGATGATGATGATGAGGAGGAGGAGGAGGAGGAGGAGGAGGGGGAGGAGGAGGAGGAGGAGGGATGGGAGCAGGAGGATGAAGGGTTCGTCTCCTGGAGTTGTGGTCGCCGTTGAACAGCAGCAGCCCCGTGGCCCCGCCGTACACGGAGTAGAGCTGCTTCCCCTCCGTGTGGGGGCACCGCGAGGCGAAGGCCAGAGAGGCCCTTGAAGGGAGGCGGGAGACAATGGGAGGCGTGCAGAGTGAGGTGGCGAGGGGTTGGGAGTGGGAGGGGGTGGGGGAGGTGGACGGTGGTGGGAGAGTGGGAGGGGAGAGGAGGCAGGGTGGAGAGGGCGGACGGGAAGGGAAGGGATTCCATGGGGCAGGGGGGGGGGAATGAAGTGGCGGGATGGGGAAGGAAGGGGGTGGAGTGGAATGATGGGAGGGGAAGGGGGCGGGAAAAGGAGGGGGAAGGGGGGGGGGAGGAAAGGGGGCTGATAGCGCCTGTGGCAGAGAGCTCCGCCGCACGTCAACGGCTAGCACCCCGCCCGCGGACCGCCTTCCCCAGATGGTCGTGTCTTGGCCAAAATGTGCCCTCCCTGGGACCTGGCGTGCGCCCGTGAGCCAACACATCCACCGCCGGGCCCGCTGGGCATAGGGCAGGGCGTGGGGCGCCCTGGTGTCGAAACTGCCCATCTTCGCGACGCTTTCTCGCTTGTCTTTTGGAGGCTAAAGTTCCCCAACTCACAGGTTTTCATCGAAATTGGTTGCGGGGGCTTGCTTCGAAGTCAAGAACGAACGCAACTTGGGGATCGTGGCCCCCGTTATGGCCCAATATTGCTTCTAGACGGGCCAATGCCGCCGAATCAAGCCTCTGATGCCGCCCGCTGGCCCAGATTGGCCTCCTGTGCAGGCCTGAAATATACCACCATGTTCGGAACACAGTGTACAAAGATTTCTAGCAGCTCGATGGCTTTCGTCTTCTCGCCCCTTCGGCCTCGGGCACGTTGCAAAAACCTCCGTGGCCAGCCCAATATTGCCTTCGGGGGCCCCGCGTCGTGGGCCAAGACAACTCCAGGGAGGGCCCCAAGCAGGGAGTGAGGAGCAGGGGAAGGAGGATGAGGAGGAGGAGGAGGAGGAGGAGGAGGAAGAGGAGGAGGAGGAGGAGGAGGAGACGAGGAGGAGGAAGAGGAGGAAGATGAGGAAAAACAGGTAGAATTGCCGGGGCTGCGTGGCGGTAGGCAGAAACAGTGATCTGTACCGAACCTGTTTACCTTATCGGATACGTTCGCGTTGACGCTTCCAGCCACGTGGTAACCAGGCATGTCCTTGGAGTCGGGATTGTGCTGGGGATCGAACAGCTCTGGCGCAGCGAGGGAGCGAGAAAGAGGAACGCCAGAACTGTCCACCCCTTCCCAATCCGTACAGGATGCCAAGCTGCCACCTGGGGCGCACGCTCCGGCGCGGCGGAATGTGTGTCAACCGACTATACTCAGCGGGCACGCTCGTGCTCCTTAAGACGGGCACACACCAGCTCGCCTGAGTTGGTGTGAAGGCTGGCGGGGAAAGAGGATGGAGGTTTTTCCTTGAGGGGGGCGCGGCAAACGCTGTCCTGCGCCTCGCCTCGCCGCTCAGCCCAATCCATTTCTTCCCCGCCGTCGGTCGCCGCAGGCGAGCGCGAGCTTGCCGTGCTTCCTCATCGCGTGGCCTGGGCGGCTCGAGCCAGCGGCGGTGCTGTCCGCGGCAGGATCCTCCGTGGCGGGCTCCTCCGCGGTGGGTCCTCCGCGGCGTCCTCAGTGGGCGCGATGTCCTCCTCGTTGGCAGCGTCGGACCAGTCGTCGCTCTTCTCGCTGGTTTTCGGCAGCGTCGGCGGACTTGGTCAGACTGTGCCTTGAAAGCTGCCGCCCGCTTCGCGCCCCGCGCCTTCGTGGACTTGCGGTCGCCGCGGCATGTCTTTGTTGGGATTCTGCGAGGCCGCAAGCTCGCCCGTGGAGGCCTCCGCCTCCGCCGTCCTCTTCGGCCTGTCCTTGCCGCCCTTGTCGCCCTCCGCGTGCTGCAAGATGCACTGCGCCTGGCCGCGGCTGACGATGGGCGCTCGGGCTCGAGCCGGAACGGGTACGCAGCGGAAATCTGGAAGCTGGGCTTTGGCGCGCCGTGCCCGGGCGGCGGCCTTGAGGGGTGGGGCGGCCTCCCCGCCGGCTCTGGCCTGCACGGCCTGCTCTTCGGCCCAGGTGAAGCAGAAAGGCGCAGCGGGCGATGCTCGGCCGCCTGGGTGTCCAGGGCGAGCATCAGGTCCACGTGCGTGCCAGGCGAAGCTGACCCGGCCACGAGCCGCCAGTTGCGGCGGCGCGCGGCCTGGCACTCCCTGCTGAGGGTGCCGGTCAGTGCGTCGCCGGGGCGCTGGGCCGCCAACGTCACTGGCGGTGGCGCCAGCCTGCCTTCCACCGTGGGCACCGCATCGGGGTCGACGGTGCGTCGCTCAGCGCCCTCAACTCGTGCCCGAGTGCGACGCCCATCTCGAGGCTCAGGCAGTCGTCCGAGAACAACATCAGCCTGGCGATGTCCTCGGGTCGCGGCCTGGACACGTGGTGCACGATGCGCAAGTAGCGGTCGACGAAGACTGCGTCTTGAAACTCGCGCATCGTGGGCGTCCTCGCCGCGGTCTCCTCCGCCATGTCCTCCGCCCTCTTCTGGTCCTCCTCGGAGTGCACGGCTGGGCCCTCGACCGCCTGCGGCGCTGGTGCCTGCCGCTTGGGCGTCGGCTGCAGGCGGGGTCGCGCTGGCGACGGCGGCGTCCGCGCGTGGCGGCGGCGGGGCTGCGCGACCGAGCAGTGCGGCGGTGGCGGCGCGGAGTGAAAGACTTGTCGTCCTCGCGGCTGCGGCGGCGGAGCACGTCGGCGAGGGCTGGGCTCTCCTGGGTCCGTTGTCGCGGCGGTGACTGCGGTGGTGGTGGAGCGCGATGCTTCGGCTAGGTGGCTAGAGGAGGCATCGTGGGAAGCGTCCTGGGTGGGCGAGTCATGGTGCCAGCCTTGGCGGGGGCGGCAGCCTTGATGGGGGCGCCCGTCACAGGCGCTTGACCGCTGCGCCGTGGCGGCGGGCTGGCGCTGCTCGCCCCCAAGGATGGTGGAAAAGGCGGCCGCTTGGTCGCGGCGGCCTCCTGGGCGCGAGCGCGAACCTCGTGGGTGGCCGGGTGGCGCGGGCGCGCGCGCTGGCGCCCGGCGCGGCGCGGGCGGCCCTCGCGCGGGGCCTCTGGCTCGAGCCAGCGCGCAGGCGACCCGCGCCGCGCTCGGCCCGCGCGCTGGACATGCAAACGGCCGCGGGTGTGGTGCATGCGTGCGCGCGGACACGTTCGCGCACATACTTCACTGTGTGCTGCTGCTTGTACTTCTCTACTTCCCACTGCAATTCTATCGCTTTCGCATCGCGCAGGCCGCGCCACCTCTCCCAGTCAGATCACGCGATGCATATGCAACGAACATGTCGATCCTGACCAACATGAGAGAATCCATGGGACTTCCCAAGCAGAGATGAGGAATTGGAAGTAGATTTGGTCAGGTCGGACGGGAGAACGGCGGTCATGCTGGTCACTGCTGGTTGTCTCCTTCCGCGTGCTTGCGCCCGTGACAGGATCGCGCGATGAGCTTGGCCGCGGCGTTGAGGGTGACGGCGCGTGGAGCGTGGTCTCTCACGCGGTGCCCGGTGGAGCCAGGGCGGAGCGATGCGCGGTTGACGCAGCCCTTCGTGAGTCCATCCGCAACCAGTTCGCGGATGTCTTCCCAGCTCGAGGCCGACGGCTGGCTGGGGCATATGAGGTCTCGGAGCCGCGGGAGGTGTGGCAGCGTCAAGTGCTCTGCCGGAGGCGTGGGCCTGGTGGCCGTCGCGGCGGCGACGACGACCGTGGAGTTCAATCAGGTCTCGAGCGGCGCAGTCGAAGCCTACTGCCCATCTCGCTGGCGCAGCGCGGCGCGTGGCCCACGCGGCCGTCGTGCCGCCTCGTGGAGCGTGGTGGTGAGAGAGAAGCCATGATCCGCGGATGAGATCGCGGCCATCAGCTCACTCGTAAAGGTGCTTCATGTTACCGTCTTGAGAGCTCCACATGGCCAGCCGGAGAGATGGCAGAGCATGGTGCCAGTAAAGGACGCCGGCGTCGAAGATGAGGGTGCGGCGCCCGTGCGTAAGAACGCTGCGCTGCGCATCGCACGACCTGCATCGCGCGTCCACCTGCACGTGCACGAGCGCCGCGCCGGAGTGGATTCCCAGCTGAGCATCTGACCAACGCGTTGAATTTTCGGATGTGGCTGCGCGCGGGAGCCGCCGCGTGGCGCGGCAGTGCGGCCGCGTAGAAGAGAAGGTCAATCCTCGTGATGAGGGTGAACGCCAATGCCATTGGCGAGTTGAGGAGCAGCTCGGTTCGGCCATTGGGTGCAAGCTCCGAATTGGTTTTGCCGGCGAGCTCAGCACCTTCGACGGGCTCGAGTGCTTGTGCGTAGTCGGTCTTGCCCAGCATGTAACCATCACCGCTGGTAGGCGAATGTTGTGTCTCACAACATGTGGATCTTCCTTCAGAGATATCCAGCTCGAGCTTGCCCGAGGCCTCCTCCAAACACTGACAAAACTTAGCCTATCTTCGGGAGTTCCTGTCGCCCTAATGTCGTTAACGTGCTTGGTCCCTCGGAGCCAGAGTTCGCCGTCGTGGTGCTTGCCGTAGTGTGGGGGCGGCCTGGTGCGCGCCGTTGGTGGCCTTGTGAGCTGTTGGATGGGCCAGCATCTCGGCGCGCCCTTGCAGCAGGTGCCTGGTTTCTTCGTCTGAAGGACCTCGAGCGCTGGGTCGAAGTTTTCGAGCCCTCTAATTTTGCGAAGAGCCGCAACGGCGTCGGCGGAGATCTCGAATTTGACTTCGCGCTTGGTCTCGCTAGTTGACTCTGAGTTCCCTGAACTGACCCCTTCGAGGAGCGCCTTCTTGACGCCCCGTGTGTCGATCGATCATCCTCGGCAGGCTGCCTCAGAGACGATCGCTCGCTGTGGGAATCGCGAGGAGGTGCTGGCGTAGGCGGCGAGAAGTTCGGCGTCGATGTTCAGGGGGGCCTCGTTTGGTCAGTCGCATGCACATGATCCGTGACTTCTGCGTGGGTTCCGACACCTTTCGTGCCCGCTTCCATTTGCTTGCCCACATGTAACTGAAGATG